GATATTATTTCAGCCTGTGACCAGATAATATCGGTCAAAGGTAAGACTAGGGAACCAGCCATTCCAAAAATTGACTATTCCCATCCCCACCCCATCCCTAATACTGTGTAGGCTTTGATAACCTATCCTAATTGTGTGCTTCACTGCTTCCCAACACTTCTCTTTTCTTTTTTCCCTTTTCTTTAACAAATTCTATATTAGGGTCTAGCCTGAATTTCTGTTTGTATCTTCAGTGCAATTCCCCACCCGCCCTCCAAACCCCCGTATATTGTTCTTCAAAAATGTTACATTGCACTCTCTCTCTTAAGTTATAAAGGGTAGAAAGGAGACACCGGCTGCCTCTACTCTTTAGGAGAGAACCTACCTGTCTCTTTTGTTTGGGTGGCTGGGCATGGTGGTGAGAGCAAAATCACTATATAAATGGCAGAAAATGCATTTATCATGAGCCATTCAGCAAGATAGGCATGAAAAGAGTGATTGTTCGTCCATTACAAGTTATTTCACTGCTGTACTTTTAACCTGGTTGTCCTCCAGGAGTTCAAGGCAATGGACATGTACTTCTCTACCCCTATTTTATTCTCACAACAGTCTTGTAGATTACATTAATTCTTCTTACCATGTTATAAGATCGTCCTGAGCACAATACTGAGTTAAATCTTTCTTGCAACTGACAAAAAGCCTTGCATATTCCTTAGCAGATAGGAGTCCTAGGACTATCCTTCTAAAATGTTTTTTTTTTTAAAAAAGTGTTCCTAAATCTAGCGCTAGAACCTGCATTTAGCAGGTAGCAATATCTAAGCAACCTTAGCTATCTCAAAAAACCTATTCAAGGTAGAAACTGGTTAGTATTTGGATAGGAAACCATTAGGAGGTCCAAGGGCTAGAGACTAGATTAGGAAGTGAAAAAACCATCCTCAGAGAAGACAATGGTAAAACCAGTTATGTACTTAAGAACTACACGGATATGTAGTCACCAGAAGACAAGTTCAACTTTATGATGTATCTAGAACACTGTGCACTCCATAATATACAATTTTTGACAGAGGAGACATATTCCAGGGTGAGAAGACCAATGCAGGTTCCAGGGGCACATACACATGATCATCCTTTTGCCTAATAACATATATCATATCAGATGTGTACAGGTAGACCACTCGTTCAGCGACAGTTCAAAGTTGTGACTGCACTGAACAAGTGGTACTTACAACCGCTCCTCGAATTTCCAGCGGTCACAGCACCCTTGCAGTCATATGATCGCAATTTGGGCACTTGCCAACCAGCTTGCACTTATGATAGTTGCAGCATCCTGTGGTCATGTGATCGCCATTTGTGACCTTCCTGCCAGCTTTCCACTAGCAAAGTCAGTTGGGAAGCTGGCAGGGAAGGTTACAAGTTGCTCTGGTAAGTCCCCCTGGCCTCCATATCCTCGTGTCTCACATGCCATCCACCCCCTGGGCCTCCCTGCACTCACACTATGCCACCTACCTCCTGGCCTCCCTGCACTTGCACCCCATTGCACCCCCCACCCCCATCCTTCATGCACTTGCACACAGCCTGCATCAGGCCTCCCAAGCCATCCCCCAATTCACATGTGGCCTGCACTGGCCCTCCCCCATCCCTTATCTGGGACTCCTGCTGCTTCCTGCTCAACAACCTGTGTGTCTTGAGGTTATGACAGCAACTGGGACTACCAAGATTGCCATTCCTAAGTGATGTGGTCACGCGACATCATGCTTTACAACCACATCGCTTAGCAACAGCAATTCTGATCCCAATTGCTGTTGTAACCTGAGGACTACCTGTAATTCTTTGTTCTATAATTCCTATTGTTCCATAATGGGTCAGACTTTGGAGGGAACACAAAGACACTGTGTGGACTGATAGTTACTTCTGGAAGCAAAATGCAATCTAGAAGTGCAGCTGGCAAACCCCAGGAGCCAAAGTGTGAAGATAGAACTATTTCCTCCGGCATTCACTATTTCAGGATCCAAAAGAAGAGGTGAGATAAGAGATGGAATGAAGGAAAATCACTGAAAATCACCAGCATATAGAGGATTATGTATTTTTTCTTTTATTAAAAGGAGAAGAAAGAGGGGAAGAGGGAGTGTCATTGTCCAGAGTCCACTCTACATAATTGAGATGCTTGGCCATAAGGGCAGCAGTAATTTGTGCTGTGCAGAGAGAGCTGCGCCAAGCATTCAGTGAACTTTTGTCAAATCTTTTCAATGCATCTGCATCCAGCCAACCCTGGCTGGTGGGGTAATGGTTTTGGCAAAGCTTCAAGTTTCCTATATGCTAACAGGGAACTCGGTTCTCCAAGTGCGGGGCCTTATGTAAGCAAAATGAATCACACACAAGTGGGAGGTACAAGCAAACGAATGAAACAGCATAGTTAATTCCAGCTGTCCCCCTCCACCCAGTGTATTTAAGGAAAAAAACCATAAGGGAGGTAGGAGAGCAGCATCCCCTGAATGAAGACTGCGCGTACTCCATGGATGGATGGGGGAGGGCTAGCTCTTGGATGGGATGGGTCAGAAGACAGAAAACCAAGGGAGAGATTAGAAAGGATATAGCTGGCTAACATTTTGAGAAGAAAACAAGCTTTAACGTGGAGTCCTTGATGCTCTCTGAGCTTGGTTGTTTGTTTGCAGATCTTTCATTACCCAATTAGGTAACATCACCAGCGCTAGCGAGTGTGGGGTTTGCTCTCTGTCTTATATACAGTAGCTTGTCCTGCCAGTGTTGGTGAGGATGTGATTTTCTCCTTGGTAGTTCCTGATTAGGGTATTGTTTTCTGCTTGTTTGTCTGGTGTTAATCCTTGCTTATCTGGGTGTAGGCTGCTGGAGGGGATGCATTCTGGTTTGTTTCCTTCATAGTTTTTATTGTCTCTCTTGAATGGTGTGTAAATGTGGTTTATCTCTATGTGTCTATTGATGGCTGATTTGTCTGAATACCAAGCTTCCCTAGTGTTTTTGGACATAGCTTGGTCTAGGATGCTCAGAGTTTCCCAGTTGAAACTATGGTTGAGTCTGTCCATGTGTTGTGAGATTAGGGAGTTTTCATTGTGTCTTCTGACTGCTAGTTGGTCTTCATGGATGTGCTCTGTTAGTCTTCTGCCTGTCTGTCCCACCTAGTGGCTGTTATAGTCCTTACACTATATGTTGTAGATGACTTTTTTCTTCTTGGGCTACTGGGTCTTTTGGTTTACTTAAAATGTTTTGGAGGGCTTTAGTTGGTTTGTGTGCTGTGGTGATGTCATGTGGTTGTAATAATCTGTTGGTTGTTTCTGAGATGTTTTTGATGTATGGCAGTGTTATCCTTTTCATAGCTTGTGCTGGTTGTGCTGTAGTGGGTTGAGTGGTCAGGGACTTTTTGATAAATTTGCATGGGTATCCATTTTGTTGGAAGATGTTGTATAAGCAGTCTGTTTCCTTTTCCTGTGTTCTGGGTTGCTACAGTGTGTTTATACTTGTCTGCATAATGTTCTTACATAGCTCCTCTTGTGGGAAGTTGGGTTGTTACTTTGGTAATGGAGCACTTGGTTAGTGTGGGTTGTTTTTCAATAGACTTGCATTCCTAATTTGCCAGTGTTTCCTTTGCTAATGACGATATCCAGGAAGGGTAGTGTGTTGTTGTTTTCTTCTTCCCTTGTGAATGTTATTACTTTGAAGAAGTTGTTGATTGTTTCATGGGTATTTTCTAATTGTTCCTTTTTTATTATGACGAAGGTGTTGTCTACATACCAGATCTATACTTTTGGTTGTATGTGTGGGAGTGCTACAGTTTCTAGATGCTGCATTACAGTCTCTGCTATGAATCCTGAGAGTGGTGATCCCTTGGGTGTTCCTCTGATTTGTTGGTATATTTGTCCATCAAACTGAAAATAGGCAGTGGTGTAGGGGCTGATGAGGTCCATGATTCTGGGTATATCCATCTTAGTGTATCTGGCTAGATCAGGTGTGTTGAGCAGTACTGCTGCCATGGATTCTTTCACTAGTTCTGGATCTATGGATGTAAAGAGTGCTGCGACATCAAATGAAACCGTAATTTCATCCTCTATTTTTAGGTCTTTGATTTTCTGGAGGCGCTGTAGTGGGGAGCTGATAGAATATTTGCTCCCCTCTGTAAGATGTCCAAGCTTTTTTGTAAGTTCTTTGGCAATGTTGTATATTGGGATCCCAAGTAATGATACAATTGGACAAAGAGGTATGTCGGGCTTGTGTATTTTGGGGTGTCCACAGAAGCATGGGAGGATGGGTCCACTCCTTTTCATCTGCCACTGTTCTTCTCACAACACATGGACTTACAACACATGGACGGACTCATGGGTGTGGACATGGGCAACACATGGACAGACTCAACCATAATTTCAACTGGGAAACTGAGCATCCTAGACCAAGCTAAATCCAAAAAACGTGCTGAAAAATATATTCATGTGTATGTTTAAGAAGTGTTCCCACTATTCTCATTCTTCTATGCCTCTGTCTTGTTGCAAGGAGAATTGCTGCAAGTGATCTTAGCATGCAAGGCATTCCTTCTCAATTCAGACACCGCCCCAAACAAGTGTTTGTGCTAACCAAAGTCAAAATCCATGCCACAGCTTGAATTTCCAAATGTATAAGCAAACCATGGGCAGAGTTGCCCATTTGTTTCTGGTAAAATGTGTGACTGATAGTGCTCTAATTTTATTTTCTACCAGTTATGAACTCCAGCCAGTAGGTTCAGGAGCCTCTGGAAGAACTGGTGTGTTAAATTCAGATGTCACCCTAGCAGTCCACAAGCTGCTCAATCTGCCTCAGTCTCTAAGCAGGAGAAGAAGGTGGGGCCACAATTAAACTGGCTATAGTGATGCACCAACATCAAAGAAAGTGATGAGAAGGTCAATGGAAAGTAATAAATGTCACTGGTTACCAAAGACAATGTGCGGACCGTCCTCACATCAAGGGTTAGCAAGTCCACTTCGAACTACAACAGTTGGTTATTTTGGACAAAGTTTATGAAATCTGGCATCAAGTTTAAGCACTAGATTTGGCTCTGGCCACCAAAGAGTCCATTTATCTCACCTTTTGTCCATCACATTGTCAATGCATTCTTTCAGTTTATCTTCCATCTCCTCTTGCTGTGCTTGCTCATCTACTGCTTCACCTCCTGAGAAAGGCAGCAGGAGAAGAAAAGAAAAAGATCAAAGCTGTATCAGACCAGCCAGACTCAGGGCCTGAAATTCCTGCACTCCTAGAACAAGGAGAACAAGGGTTACAAATCAGGTCTGAATGGCACTGGCAGAGCTGCAGAAAAGATTCTTTATCCTAGCATTTCAACAGGCTTTTTGTTCCTCACGCTTGTTCAATAGGCTTTTGGCAGTTCTTGAGCTACAAATTGTTCCAGCAGCCACTCTTGTTTTAAAAGAATTAGTTCAGATGAAATTAGTAATGGATGAAATTATAATACTAGCATAAGAACACAATTTTTAATCATTCGACTGAAAGTCATTCAGGCCATCAGCTGGTTGTAATAAATGCCATACAAGACATTTTTAGAACCTTGATTTTTAATTCCAACATTTACCTCTACTATTGCCACATACCAGGTTTTCTTTTCATCATCTTTGTGAATTATTCAGTTATGTGATAATGCAAACTTATTTGAGTAATTTGTGATTCAGAAGAGCCAGTTTTTGATAAACTTCATTGCCTAGAAAAGTCTCAACACATAGTGGCAGTTTTTGCTAAAAATTTAACAATATCCTTTCCCAACCCCCTTTTTATGAAACTACCTTCCTCCCCATCCCCAAAACACACATCCAATTAAAAAAAAATAAACAGCAGTTGCCAATAATAAAAATACATTGTGTTAGGTTTGTAGATTACATAGGTATCTATATAACAGAAGTTCTCTCATTACAGAATGTCACTGAGAATTCAGCACCAGCAAGCTAATACTGTGTATCTCTAGGATACCAGATTAGAAACATCTGGTCTATGGCTTATTTAGTACACAGAAGAGCAAGGTTTGTGAAACCACCTTTTGCCCTACTTACCTGTCATTTCTTCAGCTATACTGGCACTTTCACTGGCACTGCTGTAATGACTGAGGACTTCACTAGCTGCTTCATCATCACTTGCTGGAGACTCCATCTTGGGGTTGCTACGAGCACCTTAAGGAAGACATTAAGAAGATCAGGGTTGCTTCCTGTTTACCTACATTGAATTCAGGGTTTGCCTAGGATATGCTGTATCTGAAGAATGTAAAGCGCATTATCCAGGGGAAAGAAAAGTTGCCAAGAAATAATTTACCACGATATACCTATAACCACTTGAAAAGCTGGTCACTGTGCCACCCCAAATTTACCATCTCTGATAAAAAATCTGGAGAAGCAAGAGAATAGTAATATTCTTTTCACTATTTCACAGGAGAACTCACTACCCTGATAAATGATGATTACTGTGACACATCTTTGTATCTGAAAAATCCTTTGGAGTACTTGGGGTGGAATAACTCAATTCCGAGATAACTTGGCTGTTTGGATTCATACAATTGGCAGTAAGAGATCAGTTAATAAGTCAACATTCCTCAGTGTGGTGTGTCCCAGGGAAGCTGGGATTCCAGCCACATGGCCATCATATTGAAAGGGAGGCTGGCAAAAGTTGAGGTATGTGGCCTTTGGTGTCTATCATGATTTAGATTTCTTTCTAAATAGTAACAGTGGTAACACTCTTATCTACAATGCATCTCTTCTCGTCATCAATAACATTAATATTTATATCATACTTAAGAAGTAAGCCCAGAAATAACAATTACTGTACCTTACAATATACAAAAATACAAAGTAGACAAATTATAAACCTAGGAAACTCTAACCCTAAGGGACTAGTGGGATACAAACAGGTAACCACTTCACAAAAAGAAAAGAAAAAAAACCCTATAAAACCTACTGACAATACTATAACTAATTAAATCAAGTAAAATTAAGCAATATGCAACATAAAAGCCGGAATATGGGTCATCAGGGCTAGTTCTAAAACCACAAGTCCCTAAGATCTAGATCAGCATACAGGACCTATTGTCCTTTTGATTTCTTTTTAAATACATCTCCCCAAATAATATATCTCTTTCCATAATATCCCCTCCCAAAAGCAAAACAGATCTTATAAAAGATTTGTTCCAAAGGTTAACGCAAGACAAAACATTTCATGTTAAATCAAGCTAAAGTCATTTAGGTGTAAAAGACTACAATCAGGAAATATTTTTAAAAATGGGGGGGGGGGGAGATTGTATTTTCTACTCACCTAAAACCAGAAGAAGAGCTATCCCATCTCTTTACATTCCCAGATACATCTGTTAGAAGTGGATAGCAATAAGCTTACTGGTGGCCTTTGAATAAAGTTAGCACTGTCAGCTTAGGCACACCCTCCTGATAAACACTGAAGGCCTGGACTAAGAGATAATTGGCACCGAGTGCAAGAAGTGAGGGAGAAACAAGGAGAAAGCCAATCTTCAGCTTTCTCTCTGACTGTAGGTTCAATACCCATAAAAGCCCTCATGGGGTAAATTTATGATGACAACTTATTTTGTTCAGGATCTGAGCTATGTGGGAAATGGTTACTAAGGTGAAGAGCCATGGATAAGTACTAAGACAAAGCAAAAACAGGGATGAAACATCAGTCTTTAAAAGGTACTCCCAGTAATCAAATACTGTAGTAGGTTTAACAGAGAAGAAAGCTCTTAATGCTTTCAGATTTTAGGGAGCAGCTACAGATAATGTCTAGTCTAGCTTCTGGGTCTGGGGTGATCACTATATAACTTCTGTTACACCATCCATTCTGGCTGTAGAATATCCATCATTTGGGCACCCAGATCAAAAAGCCATGCCTGCTTGCTGCAGTCGCTTCTATTAATTCCTTCTGAAACAGAAGCTTGCAAAAGCATAGACTAAATTGGCTCCAGCATGCTTAGCTGAGAAAATGCGTCACCTTAGCTAGCCTCGTGGAGAGCTAAGTTAGTGGGATAAGATCTCACCAGCCAATATCTGATGTAAGGACAGCACCTGCTCCCAGCCTGCTCTATACTGCTAAGAGACTTGCTAAGGAGAAGCAGAGGCAGAGCACTTGAAGAATCGTTGATCCAGGTACAGCACCAGGAATGGAGCTCCCACTTTGCCACCTAGTTTTATGCCAGCAGCAGTTAACCTCATGGTGTAGTATTTTTAAAAAAGCAGTAACAGTGTTTTAATACTAGTAGCCTGTTTCTATCGCCACTACAGTATCAACGTTCCCAAGAACTGTACTCTGAAGCACCTCCAGTCTGCCTGGCTATTTGAAAGAGCGTTTCACCTTAGGTAGTCTGATGGAGGCTTAAGGCTGGAGGTGGCTAGGAAGGCAGCCAGCTCCTCTGCTGAGCCAGCTAGTCTTCCCCTGTTCGAGAGACCGTGATAAATCAAGCTACACAAGGCCCAACACACTGGTGGTGATTAGCCTGCAATCATTAAGATGTTATCACTCTATCATAGCAACAAAGGATATGAGCTGTGAAGAACAAGCAGACTTCAGCTCAACCGCCTGCTTCATCAGGAAGCAGAGAAAGGAAGACCAACTATCAACTGCTCCCAAAAGGGAGGATATTGTTACACTAGTTGGCCTGTTCATGTAGCTTTTGATTAAAATATTTAAATGTGGAGATGGAGTTCCTTTTTTATACTTTTTGGGGGCAGATGCTATTCTGCTAGGCAGAAAAGGTGACACAACCTAGAAACAGACTCAGGGTAAGGCAACACAGATTCCATTTTTCAGGGTGATAAAGTAGCAGAGAAGTTGGAAGCCCAAAAAGCATTCAAAAGAGGAGAGGGCTGGGAACAGGAAATGTAATTTAACTCCTACCCCTAGCAGCAATGTAGGACACAAAACTCTACACATCTCCATAAATAGAAGCCAGCAGTCAGCATCAAGGGAGTGTCACTAAAGGGTTACTGCGACTCTAGCTTTCTAGCTGACAAAGCCAAAAGATGAACCAGTGGCACAAGCCAGATGTGACTGACCCCAAAGCAAACAGGGCTGTATGGCGCCACCCTGGGACAACGGGAAGCTGGAGTTACCATGCTACAGCAGCAGGGCCTGTCAATCACCAAGAGGTGACCCGGCATTTGTAACCCAGACACAGAGCAAGAACAAGCTAGCAGCAGGACTAGCCAGATGCACATGTGCAGCTGAAGCTGTACTTAATGGGAGTGCTTGCAAATGGCCTGCCAACAGATGCCAAAAGAAACCAGCACCCTGAGTTCCACACAGTTCTTGGAAAGACAAGTTTGGTACCACGGCGGAGGCGGGGAAACGACTGGCTGTTAAATGCGTATTAGAATGGTCCTCACTGAAACCTACATCAGTATTCCATTCCTAGGTGGATCACACACAGACCATGCTTTTAGCATGAAGCTGGTTCTCCCCCCCTCCCCATGGCTTCATGGAAACCTTTTGAGGAATTTGAAAATTTATCCACTGATTGGGAACAATTTCATTGGTCCTGATACAAGCATTACAGCATCTTCAGTGCTCTTTTGTTTTTCTTATAGAACTGCCTTCAGCTAAGGCTGAAAACAGGGGAGATAAAGACTACCCCGCTGCTAAAATTAATGGAAGCCCCAAATGCTTAAGTTTTGTTGAACTGTGCCTTGTCCCAGATGTCTTTACATGTGAGATAGACAGATAGACAGAGAAAGAAAAGAAAGAAAAGAAAAGAAAAGAAAAGAAAAGAAAAGAGAAAGAAAGAAAGAAAGAAAGAAAGAAAGAAGAAAGAAAGAGAGAAAGAAAGAAAGAAAGAAAGAAAGAAAGAAAGAAAGAAAGAAAGAAAGAAAGAAAGAAAGAAAGAAAGAAAGAAAGAGAGAG